ACACACACACACACACACACACACACACACACACACACACACACACACACACATTTATTTATTTTTTTTTTCCGGAATTTTCAGAAAAGTCCACTTTCATCTCTGTTAAATAAAATAAAAAAAAAGATGAGTAGAAGGCTCTGTGGCGTGGGTACCCAAGTTCGGTCCTCGAGAGCTCCTATCGAAACCTTTTTAGATGTGTCCCGAGGCTGGATAGGGGCTCTCGAGGACTGGACTTAGGTACCCCTGCTCGATGATGTGCCTCTCCCGCTGCGGAACCATGGCATAAATCAATCCAAGAGTAAATGTACTGCACCTGTACTGTATATTCGTTTAGGGCACCCACAACTGAATGACTGCTTAAATAGCGTAAAAATTAAATGAAAGCTTATTACTATTCGGGAAAAAAAGAAGGAACTGTGTCACAAAACATGAGGATGATGTTCATATTCGTAATCTTGTTGTTTGGTTTGACGAAATAAATAATTTGAACTATAATCAAGAACAAAGAAACAAGGGAGCCCATTTGGCCAAAGAACTGAGTGTGCTAACCAAGAAAAGACCTCAACCCCTGGAGGAAGTGGAAAAATGACATCACGATTTGGATGAACGAGAAAGCACTCCACGGTGACATTGTGAGTGAGTCCATTACCCGTGAGGAGGCAAAGATGCTGCACGCAGACTTGCTTGCGAAAATGTCCGGTCCAGGTGGTGTTTTGGATTTTAAAGCCTAGTTAAAAGCTGTTTGAAGAAATTTCAGAGGAATGGACTTCACAGTCTTGTTAGACGCAGGGAGACTGCGAGTTCTAATAAACCGGCTGCAGGAGAATTTAGAGGAATGTTTGTGGAAAGTGAAGGCAAGTTGCTTTTCAACTGCAACGAACAGGATTGTTTTGGACAAAAAAAAATGCAGGGGGAACCTACTTCATTGAAGGGCTTGTACTCCTTTGCCGCAAACCAGGATAAGAGAGCCTTACACTTTTATTTTGTCCAAATGCAAGTGGTGACTGTAAGAAGAAACCACTTTTAATTTCTGACTTTGAAAGTCCTTCTGCGTTTAAGCGCAATGATGTGATGAAGACTAAAACTTTCTGAAATGTGGAAAGCAAATGCTAAAGCCTGGGCTAGAAGAATACTTTTTAAGGAGTTTGGTGACTGAGATTTTTGCACCAGCTGTCAACTGATATTTTACGTAGAAAGGTTTGCCCCTGGAGTGTGTTCTCATCGTGGATAATTCTGCTCATCTTCCGGACTTGGAAGAAGTGAAACAATGAGTTCAGTGAGGCTGCGTGCGTGCATGTGTGAGCATGTGCACGTGCATGCGCGTGTGTGTCTCCTTCCCCCTAATTAATGCATTTTTTTTTTTTGTGTGTGTGTGTGTGCGCGCGCGCGCGTGCGTGTGCGTGCGTGTGTGTGTGTGATCCAAAATAAAGCAATCGCCCCGATGGAAGGGCACACGACATGTTTTACACCTCATTCTGGTTTCACTTTGCTTGCCTTTCCTAAGGCAGACCTTCGCTGCGGTGTGGCTTTTGCGTGAGGCACATGATGTTCGTGCACCGGGAGCCTCTTTGATGGCTGCCTTTTTGTGTTTTGGGGGGGGGGGGGGGGGGGATGGGTGTCGGACGAAGTGCCATTTTTTTCATCTCCCTTGTCATGCTTGGTGGAAGATTGTTTTCCCCAAAAGCAATAATCCAGGGTGAATTGTTTTGGTTTGTACATGGCTGTACATGTCCCGCTGCCACCTGCTGGACAGATTATAATGATTTACAATGCAGACAAGCCTGATCCTGAGTCAGAGGATGCGTCACTTCAGCACACTATGATGCAAAAAAAAAAAAAAACCGCAAAAGCCGTAAAAATACATAATGTGTAGGCAGCCGTAGTGGTTTTTACAAGACGATTTTTATGTCATGGGGCATAAAAGAGTGAACCAAATAAAAGTGTTGGAAGTAGCTTGAAAACAAATCTATCAACTCTCTTGAAAGCTCCACTTTCCGAGTGTTGTCAAACACCGCCTCCTCCCTCAATCTGCAGGGTGGCATTATGTCACCTCAAGTTTAGGAGTCTGGATGTTGTTTTGATTGTAACTGTATAAATTAGTTAGTTGGGGCACATTTGAATAAGCCTGTTTTGTTTAAAACGGATCGCTGTAATACTCAGTTACAGAGGGAACTGCGTGATTAATGTAAGTGTGTGCAGATTCATTTCCGCCTATTAAACTGTTTTGTCAGCTTATAGTTTATTCTTGCATCATCCATGGCTCTAAAACCATGAAAAAAGAGTTTGAGGGTGGTCATGAAGCCACAGTATTAAAGACTTTTTGTCTAGTTGTGGGGTGGCCGACACGCAGGCTAATGTGGATGGCTAGTGCAGGTGCCGTATCAATGCCATTTTCATCAATGACTAATAAAGTACATTTTTTCAAGCATATTAGATTAGTGCTGGGACCTGTTTGTAGGGTGGGATGGTGTTGTGTTGATGTTTGTGGGCTACGGGATATGGTCTTAAAATGCAGAGCTGCCCACTATTAGGAATCTTCTGTATTTTGGTAGAGAAATCACAGAATTCTCACTCGTTTGGCCCGGAACACTGATTCTCATAAATATTTTTAAAAAATCATGGGTTATATTGCTCAAACAAGTTGAAAACCAACCAAAATACTTGTTTGATAATCGCGATATGTTTGACATCATGCCAAACCCAGAAAACGGATGAGCCATGAGCTTTGCAATGCGAACCCGATGGGACTTTGACGTCAGTTTCAATTGATAGCAGGGGGCGTTTCAGTGCGGTCTTTGTATCAGTCTGTCGTGGTGAAGAAGGAACTGAGCCAAAAGGCGAAGCTCTCAATTTACCGGTCGATCCACATTCCAACCCTCATCTATGGTCACGAGCTATGGGTCGTGACCAAAAGAACGAGATCTCCGATACAAGCAGCCGAAATGAGTTTTCTTCGCCGGGTGTCCGGGCTTCTCCCTTAGAGATAAAGTGAGAAGATCGATCATCCGGGAGGGGCTCAGAGTTGAGCCGCTTGTCCTCCATGTCGAGAGGAACCAGATGAGGTGGCTCGGGCATCTGATTAGGATCCCTGGTGAGGTGTTCCGGGCATGTCCCACCGACCCGGATGAGCGAGTTGGGCGCTATATCAGTGGCGATTGCTCTCGGAGTGCAGGGGAAGCTCAGCTTCCCCTAAAATGTCAAAGAATAAGTGATCAAATATATGAATGTAAATTTCTTTGTGTGTACATGTCATTGACTAAATATGCGCTACAACGTGCTGAACTTTTGTTCCGAATCAGCTTCTTCTTACTGGTTACGACGCGACTCCCTTCTCATTCATTCCCGCAGCTTCACTGTGCTTTAAACGGTGGACGCTGAGCGTCCGCTCAGCGTCCGCTGAGCGTCTCGAGAGTTCAGGGTAGGTTGTCCCAATGCGTTGAACGGAGACGAGTCATTAGATACAAGCTGGTTTTTGTCCCGCCCACGGACGCTCAGCGTCTCTGGGACTGGATGGCAGTGGGCGGGTACCGGACGCTCAGTTATTTTGCGTCAGATTGGATGATCTGTTTGAGCATGTGTTCCAGTTTGATTGACATCGAAATGAGCCAATCACCGATCTTTTAGTGTAGGCATCCGTGGGAGCACTTTCTATTCTCATTCTGTTCTAAATTGAACTGGAGACGACTTCTAATCATCTTAGCGACACTCTCTTTGTTGAAAATGATCAGCGACGAATTAATCTTTTATTACTGGTGGGTTTTATTGTAGTTGTAGAACACTAGTTAAGTTCCTGGAAAATACACCTTGTTGGTATGACAGGGTTACAGATAATTTTCTTGAAAAGGAACGGAGAGTAGAATTCGCGTTTATATAAACGGACACTGGTCGATTGCGGGACTTTCGTTGCTTGTAAAGTAGATGTTTGGTCAAAAAGGTTGGGCACCCCTGCTGTAGAGAGAAGAGGCGCAGTGACTATTGACATTGGTCTTCAGTCCCTTAGCCAATCAGGATGCAGAACACATTGCACTGGGGAAAAAAGCATAAAAAACTGCCCTAAAAAATCAGTGAAACAGCGAACGAGTGTTCACTGTACAAATATATCAATATGATGTACAGTATATAAACATCCCTTACACAGCAAAGTATGCCATGATGCGTAGAATTTAACATTTTAATTTGAATTTTGTCTCGATGTCTCAAACAGTGGCTTCAGGATGTCATCGCCCTCCAGTGCAGCATCATGCGACACTTGTCCACCAAGCAGAATATTTCATCCAAGCCACCGTCAGCACAGTTGGACTCTGACAATAAAGACAGGTGCAAATCTTGTACAGCATCAGAGGATGTGAGAAGTCATCCCTCTTTACAACGGACTTCTCCTGGTCCCTACTCTAATCTTTGCAGTACAACCGATGACCCAGAGGGGTCCGCTCCAACACGGGACACATTAGCACAGCAGGTTGTTTCTAAATCGAGCATACCACCCTGCCAGAACTGTAGTAAACCTAATGGACCTCTAACAGAGGAGTGTCATCCTTCCAAAACAAATGGACCATTAGAGTGTAACAGTGAGTCCCAGTATTATGTACAGGAAATCCCACAGCACAGACTAAAGCCCTGCACAGCCACCCATGACTCAGCTGCTGCCTCTGACCTGGTGAACCACATAGGAACCGAAACACTGAAAAAGGAGCCTGAGAGCACTACAGAAGCTTGCACTCCAAAATACCGCCCTGTATCCACGACTACCTGCTCTCAAAGCAACCAGCAGAACCATAGGACCCAGGCAGAGCTCCAGATTGAGTCTATGAGCAACAACGTAAAATCCTGTGACTCCATTACCAGCCAAGAGCAATATTCCAGCAACATTGAATCATCATCGCCAAGCCCAGGTACACACTAAGGCAGTGATGCCAAACTTCTTTTTGTGACCGGTCACGTTGTTATATGCTTTCCCACCACAGTGCACTTATGACGGGGTAACCAAATACATGTGTTGTATAATCGTCTCATCATATTGTTGGGCTGTCACTATCAAATCATTTTAACATGATATCTACTCACCATGTAGTACTTTCCAACTCGCGATGCTGTGGTAACGACATTCTAAACAGCAATTATAGACGGTAGATGCGGCTGATTGCTGCCTCTGACACAGAGGACCACGATTCTAATCCCAGTCACAAATGGAAACATCCTAATGGGTATGCTAGACCTTAATTCCTAGACACTGTTAAAATGAGTATGATGCATCAGGAAGGGCATCCGGTGTAAAAATTATGCTAAACATATAATCACTGTGGTGATACCTGACAAGACGTGCCTCTTATAGGGACATTTCACTGACTGCAGTGTGAGCTTTCCACTAAGAAGGTCTACTAATAGACTGTGAATAAGTCATGAGTGGTTTCGACTAATATGACCTGGAAATGTATTTGTGGATGCCATTCAATGGTGCCGGCAATACCCTGGCCCCCTAAAATTTGTGCCAACCATTTTTGCTCGTTACACGCCTAATTGATGGTTCGCTAGTTGTGAAATCAGAAGTCAAGGAATATACTGTAGTTTGGTTATTTTTATATTTATTGCAATAAGGGGCTTGGGAACAAAAAAAAATGAGTGCAGTGTTTCAATAGAATTTAAACCGCTTGGGAATTTTTGTACAGATTTCACCAAAAACACAAAATAGATGCACATGATTTGGTTTTGTGGATCACATAATTTTTTTTAAACAATTTGAAATTAGTTTGACATACCGCCAAAAGTATATTACTATCTATGACGTGCGCAAAAGGCTTATCTGCACTGTATTTATTTTCAGAGCAGTTAGTAACTAGAACACAAGTGATTCACATTTCCTGATGCTTACCCAACAATATTGGGTGGTCTATGTGGGATCTTGGTACACAAAAGAAGTTCCACACAAAAAAAAAAAAAAAAACAGAAAACAATTTGTTACTAGCTTTTTGCGACCCATAAGTTAAAAATTGTTATCTGGCTGTAGTGATCGCTAAGAGCAGTGGTCCCCAACCTTTTTTGCCCAACAGACCGGTTTAATGTCAGAGAATATTTTCCAGGTCCGGCCTTTAAGGTGTGACTGATAAACACAACAAAATAATATGATATGATCTAGATCAGGGGCCCCCAACCTTTTTTGCCCCACGGACCGGTTTATGTCAGACAATATTTTCAGGGACCGGCATTAAGGTGTGGCGGAAATAATACAACATAATAATATGGTATGAGCTGCACGAAAACTGTGGCGTTTTCGAAATAGAATAATAAACACAAGGAGCGTCTAATCTGGCCGCAACACTCCGATCGCTATGGCAATGTTTAATGCCTTCAAAATACGATACAACGCAAATTCAAAGTGCATGAAAATGACGACTCACCACAGCACCGAGCTTGATTTTCTGCAACCAGACGGTCCCATCTCGGCAATAGCAACAGTGCTATTGTGGCGATCTCAGAGTATTCAGCCATAACTTTAATCCAGTTGTCTCGAGCGTACTTTTAAGGCCGCCGTGATTTGCGATCTCCAGCAGTTTTTTTTTACTCATTTTGCGAGCTTCTGCGTTTTGTTTTGAAGTAATCGGTCACGTGATGGAGAAGCGTGGCTTGATGTGTGTCAAGCGTGACACAGACGGATGTAACGGAGAATCCGGTAGTTTTTCAAAATAAAACATCTTTCGTATTCCAAAATAAATAAAACGGAATTAAGGCAAGTTCTTTCTGTGCGGCCCGGTACCAAATGCCCGGCGGACCGGCGGTTGGGGACCCCTGATCTAGATGAAAACTGTGGTATTTTCAAAACATAATAAACACGTATCATAACACGAGGAACGTCCTATCTGGCCGCAAAACTCTTCAAAATAAGATATGCCGCAAATACAAAGTGCATGACAAATACAACTCACCATCGCCGCATATTATGCAGAGTGGGCTTGGTGCGTGGGAATCTCCCATTGAGATCCATATTTTAAGTAGGACTCCTGATACTCTCTATTAAATGTAGCCTCTTTTTCGTGCCTTCACCTGCATCAAGAGTGATATACTGTAGACGGATATAAAAGAGGATCCGGTAAATTTTCAAAATAAAACATCTTTCAGAGTCCGGAACAAATAAAACTTAAATTAAAAAGTAATTTAAGTTATTTATTCTTTCTGTGCGGCCCGGTACCAAATTACCCACTGGCCGGTGGTTGGGGACCGCTGGCTTAGAGTCCAGGTGTCGAACTTGAGGGTTACTGTCGTCCATGTTTTCGATGTTTCCCCTCTTCCAACACACCTGATACAAATCAGCTAATCAGCAAGCTCTACAGGAACCCTATAAGGATCCTGATCATTTGAATCAGGTGTTTTTGGAGGAGGGAAATATCTAAAACATGCAGGATAGTTGCCCACAAGGACTGGGATTTGACACCTGTGGCTTAGAGAGAACAAACACTCAAGTTAGTTGACTCGGCTAATGGAGGCCCCAAAAATGTTTAACATTTACCGTATTTTCACGACTATCAGGCGCCATTAAAAGTCTTAAATTTTCTCCAAAATGGACAGGATGCGTTATAATGCGGAGCGTCTAGTGTATGCGCCGAGTTCCAAAGCCTGACTGAGAGCACTTCTGGCCGACACGCTGTTTATATAGAGAAAAGGCGGACGTGAGTGACGACAGGCATGTGGACGTCCGCCAATGAGTGAAGGGTGGGCGTGTAAGAGGACGCTAAAGGCACGTCCCTAGCAGGTACCAGTCACCAATGAGTGAAGGGTGGGCGTGTAAGAGGACGCTAAAGGCACGCCCCTAGCAGGTACCAGTCGCCAATGAGTGAAGGGTAGGCGTGTAAGAGGACGCTAAAGGCACGCCCCTAGCAGGTACCAGTCGCGTGAGTACATTGTAAAATGGCTAAAAAAAAGTACGACCGAACTCAGTTTTGCTTCCGTTGCCTTTTTAAAAACGTGTTTTTAGCGTGTGTCCGTATGTCTTAGCTGCTACCGTATGCTTTAAGCTAACATACCTGGTATGTTTTATCGTGCATGCATGCTACCGTATGCTTCAAGCTAACGTGTTTTTAGCGTGCGTGCATGCATGCCGTATGTTTAAGCTGGTGTATGTTTTACCATGCCTGGCTACGCCCAATAATACAGTGCGTTTTGTGTATGTGTCAAATACAGAAATAGCACCCGTTACTGAGACTGCGCCCAACAATACGGTGCGCCGAATGGTCGTGAAAATACGGTAGTTTGTTAACTAGTAGCAACAATGTTAACATTACTCCTTGCCACTGTGGGCACATCAAGGAGGTCCCAACTCCGATACTTTGAAAACCCAACTAAAAAGCTAATTGAAATGTGTTGAACAGTTCTTGTCGCAGTCATATTTTTAGTTCAAGAAAATCTTCTGGTGGTACAATAGCTTTTAACGTTTGTTTCCATTCCAATATTTATTACCCTCAAGGCAGGGCTGCACTAGCACAAAAATAAATCAGTATGTGGCATTTTGACTTAGACTGGCTCACAGACACGCACGCAGATATGCATATGTATGCATGCATGCACTTTAGGGCACCTATGCATGCTCACAACCCCCTCTGTAACTGAGAAGGCGTTATTGGTCACACCACCCACAGTCAGGTTTTCATGAAATAAAGCCTGCACACACACTCAGAACCTTGCTCAACACAATTATAATACAGGCAGGATCAATCTAAGTAAAAAGCAACGCTTTGCTGAGCTTAATTTACTAGATGGTTAATCTAATTTGCCATTGATTTGCAAATACATTAAACCCTCGTTCATCTCGGGGTTACGTAACATTCTTTCTGTGATAAGTGGAAGTAGTCCTCTATTTTTTACAATTATTACGTGTACAATAATGTATTGAATAAAAATTAAACCTTTTTCAGGCATTTCAAGCATTTAAAAAAAACAAATATAAACCTTACAAAAAACTGACAAGTCTTTTGAAACACTGTCCAGAACATTTCGTCGACATTGTGGGTTTTGTCATGGAGAAAATTTGGCAAGCTGTACAGCGTTGAGGCGTGGAGACTGTTGACATTCTACAGTCCCTTAGCCAATCAGAATGCGGAATACAATGCACTGTTTAAAAAAAAAAAAAAAACTGCATGGGTAAAATCCATGGAACAGTGAAGCCGTGAAAGATGAACTGTGTTATAGTCAGGGACAACGACTGGCGTGTATTTCTATCTCATGCATTTACTAGCGAACAGCCAATCACAACTGACAACCTTTTGCACACTGCAATTAATGGCCACATCATTCAAAAATCTCTTCTTCACAATTCTTAACGCTGCTTTTTACCAGTGTTGTGTCCAAGGACAGGCAACCCGAGGCCAAGGCCAAGGCCAGGGACTTGCCTCCGAGGCCAAGGCCAAGGACTTGGAAAATTTTCCGAGCCAAGGCCAAGGACTTGAAAAATTTTCCGAGGCCAAGGCCAAGGACCAAGGACTGTCCTCATGATTTGCAACACCCCTCCATCATAACCCTTTGCACTCCCTAACGCTTGAATGAAGTGATTTTATTCAGAGTAGAACAGTCAGGGTACGTGTTATTTATACTGAGAAAAAGAAATAAAATCATATGATATACATTTATGAATTAATGTTTTAGTGCAGTAGTTTCTTAATATGAAGTAAATCAACACTCAACAGGCATGACATGGCACGGAACACAAGTTGAGAAATGACTTTGCATAGAAGTCAATCACTGACTGCAGAAAAAGCGGTAATCT